GGGCCAGATAGGTGGCGAGGACGAGTGGGCAGGGGACAGCTCCACGCAGACCCTGGGATGGGCGGGCAGTAGGCGGGGATGGGGCGGAGTCAGGACCCAGGGCGCCTCCCGCTAAGGTTCTCCCAGGACTTCTGGCAAACCCAAGGCGAAGCCACCGCGCTGGGAAGCGTCCCGAGGGAACCTTTCCCCTGCTCCCCGCACCTCCAGCAGCTCCCCCGTTACATGGTCATGTTTCTCCCTGCATTCGCCTTTCTGGCGAGGGTGTGACTCCTGGAGAGGGGGCATGCCGCTGACCCCTCCGGGTCCCAGGAGCCCAACCCAGGGGCGGGCGCTGACTGACAGGCCAGTGACAATCTGCGGGAGGGGCGGGGGTCCCCGAGCTGGGAGTGAAGGTGAAGCCCAGAGCAACCTTCAGTGTCATTTCGCCCACGAAGATGGCCGTGAAGATGTAGTTGGACACCGTGAGGAAGATGCGTTCCTGAAAGAGCCGGGAGATGCGGTGGGCCCAGGGGCTCAAACCTACCAGCCACCGGCTCACGCTCTTGATCAGCCAAGAAACAGCCAGGAGAGGCCAACACTTCTCAGTTCAAGGTGGTCTGTCCCTCCCAGAGGCAAGCTCCCTGCCACATCTCCCTCCCACCACGTGCCAGGAGTCTGGCCCTGCTGAGCTCTCCCTTGGTCTGGCTCACAGTCCCAGGGCAGGCCTGGTGCTGCATCTCTCTGCCTGGCCTCTCTGAGGGCTGTGGCTACTCACAGTGCTGCCGGCCTCTATCTGGGGCCTCTCCAGGGCGATGGTGATGCAGTTAAGGAAGATGAAGGCCAGGACCACGTAGTCAAAGAGCTTGTGGGCGATGATGGTCTGACACAGGACCCGGAACCTAGGCAGAGGCAGGGCACCACGAGTGTCAGTTTGCTTCCCATCCTGACCAGAGGGGAGGCAGAGGATGCAGACAGACACACACACGAGGGGCACAATAGCCTAGAGGAAGTGATCCCTCTCCTCCTCTGGACACAGCACAGGTGTCGATTTTGCATTGTTCAGGGTGCAGACCACAAACCCACACAGCAAAGGGTACCCACCTTGCCTGGCACTTAAGGGTCTCTGAACACCAGCCCAAATCCCAGACTCCAGTCCTCCGGAGACAAGGCCACCACATTTCCTAACACCCAGGCAGTCTCTCAGGCTGCTCCCTCCTCCTGGACCAGCTTCCTCTTTCCGCCATCCTCCTCCCCTCTCCCCCTCCCTCCTGCACCCACTGGACTGTTATCTGCCTACAAAGCCCAGCCTCCTCCTCCAGGAAGCCTGCAGATGCTCCCTTCATGTGTGTACCCCGGACCTTTAGAGAATCTGCCCAACTGGATGCCAGCACAGAACTGGCCTGGGCTACAGGAAATGCCCACGAAACCCCCTGTCCTGCCGCCCCCGCCTCTGGGGTATGGCCTCGCCCAGCTTGGCAGAGAGCTTTCCCTCCACACCTTACCCCTACTCTAACTCCCACCTGTTCTCCGGGGAGAAGAGGTAGACCGACCAGTCCTCGCGGACCTCGCACCAGTCAGGCTTGTAGAC